AATTGAACCAGCAAGACAAGGAGGCAACATCAAAATGTGATGATTTTATATATATTTAATATATTTAACTTATTTAATTATAAAATATATAAAATTTTATAATCATTTATATTTTATTAAGCTATAATAAATGTTCAAACAAAATTTATTTTAATTATATTATTATTCAATTTAATCATACCACAAATGCCTTACTTTCAGTTTGTTTCTCAATCCATAATTTAATAGCATTTCTCATCAATGCATTAGCAGATAATTCAGATCTTTTAACAATTTTAGAAACAGCTGATTGTCCAAATCCAATTTGTGATTTAGCTAATTCACAAATTTCATCAGCAGCAATTTGTTGTGTAATACCTTTAAAAGAATTTTACACTTTTGAAATGCTTCAACAAATCCATTTGCTATTATTTGATCCTCTAGTGATACTTTTGTTTCTTTCCATTGTTCAATGGGATCATCATCTTTAATTTTGTTTAACCTTTGTTTTTTATTTGGCTGAGAGCTTTTTACATATTTTCGTGATCTAATATTTAACTGAGGCTAAACCATATAGAGCACCTAATGGACTCCATGCTCCTATAAGACACATTTCCATAATCTCAGCAACAAATGGTGAAATATTTCTATATTCTATTTGCTAATATTTCTTATTATTTGCTTTTAAAAATGCTCTATCTAAATAAAAATAATCTTTTTCAAAGACTTCTAAGACAAGATATTCATCAGCATATGCCATCAACTCTAATATTGTAAATAGACGAAGTTGTGTTGATAAAGAGTTTTTGTGAATAAAAAAATAGGATACTGCATTATATAAGCAATTTCCATCAGCAGTTGTATCCCTATAAAAAAAGAAAATTCGGAATTTGTCCTGAAAAGTATGGAAAATGTCCAGAAACTTTCCGTGCGTCCGGAAAACATTCGGAAACGGTCACGTTTTGGAACATTTTCCGGACGCTCGATTCTGGACAAATTCTGGACAAATTCTGGAGTGTCAAGAAAATTTCCGGAATTTGTGCGTCCGGAAAGTGTTCCAAAACGTGACCGTTTCCGAATGTTTTCCGGACGCACGGAAAATTTCTGGACATTTTCCATACTTTTCAGGACAAATTCCGAATTTTCTTTTTTTATAGGGTATCAGCATATATATAACCATTAAATTCATCTGGTAATAATAAACATGCACCTTCATCTATAACTATACCCTCAGATATATGAACATCTACATATGAAAGATCACAAGATAAAATTTGAATTTTTTTATGCTTTTGTCCATAAGACATTATTTCATTTAAACTTGGTAATTTGGCAAGGAATTTTCTAGTTGTAATTAAAAGTTGTTTAAATAGAATCCATAATTACTAAGTGAAGTATTTCAGTAAATTTAGCAAATTTTATAACAAAGAAAAAAAGTTTATTAAAAAAAAAATTATCTTTGATTATATTTAAATCCATTTTATTGAATATTTTCCAAGAATTTAAAAATTATTTACAAGCAAATATTAAAATTAAACATTTTAAAGAAACAATTTTACACCAAACAATACCATTTAATAATTAACGATTCTGTATTAAATAAATTAATATTATCAAGAAAAGTATATAATTATTATTATTGTAATAATTAATGGTAAATATTATAATATGAACAATCAGGATTTTCATTACCTGTTACCACTTAAATTATTGTATTGCATTTGATATTTAAGGCTAACTAAACTTTTTTAAAATAATAATGTAGTTAGCCGTAAATATCTAGCCGAAAATAGTAGATGTTGAACCAATAAAATATTCAAAAAATATTCAAGATCAACATGAATTTTTTTGGCTGGGTGTTGTTAGCCGAAAATTTACTGCGCCTTAGGCTGAATTTTTCGGCTAACTACACCATTATCTACATTCCTTGCATGGTAATAATTTAATACAATCTGCATTTCTTGTTGTATTTGCAGCGAGCATTTTTAGCTCTTTATGTCCAGTTTTTCATTTCAAGGTATGAAGGTGGTATTTTGGTGCAACGTACTTCTGAGATAAATGCTGGATTTGTTTTATAACCTTACCCTTGATGGGTAAACTTTTGGTGTACCTTGGGTGGAATTCATTGGCTTAATCATCAGATAGTGTAAATAGCCAACTATCTTTTAATTAACCACAATAGTATAGTATTTACAATTGATTTACAGCTTATGTTTACAATATTACAGCCCACCTAGGTTGTAATTCAAAATATAATAATTATTATTTATGGCAGGCTACCTTATCATCAGAGACTAAGTTATGTGATTCTAACATTATATTTGTTTTTTACTATGGATAATGTCTACATCTATGATAAGTCTCTTTTTCATGTAGACTGAATTTCTTGTAATTAGGAAGATCTGTGTATCATCTGATAGTGCAGGTGTTTTAATTCCAAGGCATTTGTTATAGACTTTAGATTTATTGAGCGTAAAATTTGTGATCATGTGCCAGCTGAATGAGCTGACTGAGAATATTTCCAAGAACATTGAAAGTAAAAAGCCTGAAATATGATATATTTTTTGTATGTAAACTTGATGAGTCTTTATTTTTCAATTTTTATCTGATGTTGAATAGGGATGGCAATGGTTACGGTCATAACCGGTCATGACCGGTTAATAACCGTGACCGATATCGGTCGGTCAAAGGTTCTGACCGACCATTTAACCGACCGGTTTTGACCGACCGTTTGACCGACCGTTTAACCGACCATTTAACCGATCGTTAACCGACCATTTAACCAACCCTATTCATTTAACACTTTTTTATGAGCTGAATCAATAAAAAAAGTTGTATAATGCTTTTGTTAGCGGATTTAATCAAAAAAAACTTTTTAACGTTTTTTCTTAATTAAATTCACTAAAAAAAATGGTTAAACGGTCGGTTAAACAGTCAGAAAAATGGTTAGCAAAAACGGTCGGTCGGTCAAAGACCCATAACTGGTTATGACCGACCGATAACTGACCGTGACTGACTGTTGCCATCCCTAATGTTGAATATCAGATATATCCTGTTCTATAAAACTACTATTTTATCTTTTAATAATCTTTGTATATATATAGTTCATCAGAAATATTTATTCACCTAAAATTTTAAAAATTAAACAGTATGAAATAATATAATGGGGTCTTTGCAATAGAAAGGTATGAAACTCAAAAAAAATTAAAAATTGAATTAATATTAAATTTGCATTTATTTTAGGCAACACAAATTTGATTTTTCAGTTCACTTCACCCAGCCAGATCACTTTTTCAAATTTCAATAAAAAAAAGTTTATATATAAAAAGTTTATCACATGATCAATATGTAATTTTATTGGTGGAGTAAGTTTATCACATGGCTGAGAACTCTTTAATTACTCTTCCCTTTAAAAGTCAACCAATCAGATGTCATGATTTTATATATAAACTTTTTTTATTAATAAACAATAAACCCTGGGTCCCCAGGTCAATTTATAATTTCGATATTATGTGAACCGAAAAGTTGAATTTGTGTAGCTTTAGTAAAAAAAACATAATTAGTATATAAAGTAAAATTAAAATTTTTTTTGAGTTTTGTACCTTTCTATTGCAAAGACCCCATATGATCTGTAAGATAAAGCTGACTACTTGATAATTTCTTGTGAACATACATTACTTTCTGAATCAAATAATTAACTATTTTTCTCATAAATCAGAATATTCTCTAGATTATTTTAATAATTATAACTTAATAAATTATGTAACCTCTTTTTAATATATTACATGTACTGACTTTTCAGTTTCTTTTTTAGGTCAGTTTCAGTTCCAGTATGAAAATCTTATGTTACAAAGAGTTACTGTACTTTATCTGTGTAAGTAAAAAAAAGCTACTGATTAGTCAAATATGGTCAAATTGTATGACCACTCATATGACCTAAATTCCTCCTTTTTTAATAAATACCAGGTTTTTTTTATTATGATTAATTTTTTGTTAAAGTATCTATATTATTTGCTGCATTGCATCACTACAAATCACCAAAGTTTATCAAGAGTCTATAATCACAATGTAATCAGAAAGGTATAAGAGATATCTCAAACTTTTTTAAATTAATGGTTTATGGATATAACCACATAAATGGAGATCATATAACTAAAATCACATGACTTGAAATCATATGACTCAAAAATAATTCAGAAAACTAGGAAAAATTAATGGAAATTTTGAGAAAAGACCTAAAAGAAATCTGGTATAAAAACACCATGGAAATTTCCAGATGAAGTGATAATTGCGAAAGAATAAAGTGATAATTGACACCATATACAGATCACGCTATATAGTTAATGATATCAGGTGATCTTCATTTTAATAGTGATATTCCTTGTGATTGGTTGTTCTGCTAATTGTGCTATCCTGGAAAGGAAGGAAAATTTTACTAATTTGGTTAGCTCTTATGCGCTAAGTATAGGGTACGTTTTTTATATTATTGATATTGATATTGATATTGATATTGAATTGAATTGAAATTGAATTGATATTAATATTGATATTGATATTGAGTTGATATTGAGTTCAATATTACGAACAATGGTCGTTTATATAAAAAAAAAAAAATTGATCATGATCTGCAGCATGATCAAAATCCAAGAGCTAACCATATATTGTCATCAAGGAATTATGAATTGACTGGCCAAATATCTAAGAGCTAACTATATATTAACATCAAGGAAATATTTATTATTCGTATACATTATTCAGGAGGCTAATTCTTGTAATTATAATAGGAATTGAAGGTCAATATATATATATATATATAAAAATAGGGAAAATGTAATTGGCAACCCGGGTCAGCATGATGACCCCTGATTATGTAATAAATTTATATTTTTTTATTGGCTACACAAACATGATCATCGTGTCATCTGATAAATGTTTATTTGTTTATTAGATAACGATAATTTTTTTTCCTTTTTTTTTATTGCAGTGCTATTTCGGCTTGAAAATGACTTTTTTTTAAGGCAATTTTTTTTGTTTTTTTTCATTATTTTATTGTATTTAATGACTCTTTACTTTATTATTAACGCTAACTTTATTTTTTCTTTAGATAATGGGATGGCTTCTTTTTATTTAATGTATATCTTTCTTTATTACTTTTTATATCTTTCTGTTTTTATTACTTTTTCATTTTATTTGAAATAATACTAACCAGTCATTTCTTTGTTCCTTTTTTTATGGGTGGTGATTTTGATTATTTTTTCTTCACTTTTTTTCGTCTTTCTATCGTTCTTTTCACTTCTTTTTTACCCTTTATTATTTTATTTCTTTCTCCTTTTTACTTCTTTTTTATTCTCCATCATCCTTTTATTTCTTTTATTTTTCATTATTATTTTCGCTTTCTTTTCTTTTCCTATCACCCTTTACAC